TTGAAAATGGCAAAGAGAACATGCCTTTAGTGAATAATGTTTTTGTTTTGGTACCCAACGACTGAGGAAATCTGTAATTTATTCGAAACATGATTGCATTATGTTTTTAAGACAATTTCTTGGAATAGAATGAGCTATTAATTGTCCTAAAACCCACCAAATCATTTGACTAATTCTATCAAGGAAAATGTAAGACAAAGTTGTAGAGATATGAGGTAATAGACTTCTAATGAATCCTTACATCTCGGTAAGAATTATTTACGACAAAGCACACAATAAAATTCACATTTTGGAATCCCCTATTCAACTGACAATGGTTTATGTTTGTGGGCAATGTCAACGATTTAAGTAGGTGTTGATTATTTGTAGGCATTGTTAACGTTACATTTTGCAATTATCTATTCAACTGAAAGTGGTTTTTGTTTGGGTTATTTGTTGTTTGATGGATTGAAGGCAGCCGACAACGTTGATAGGAATTGAGGATTTTAGATCAGGGGGGATTCGTTTGGGAAAGTGGAAGGTGTATGTGGGAAGAGAAAAGCTGAAGGGGCTTTTCTCATTGTTCTCTTTCTTCACGCGTTCTGATTCTTTAAAGAATTTTTTTAATTTAATTGCTTGCCAACTCATCTGGTGTATTTCTGTTGCTTTCCTTCTGTACGTGTAGCAGCGTCCTATTTATAAGTATCTGCATTGTGACATCAAACAATTAACATTTGTTTGAGCCACATTTTATCAAAAACTCATTTTTTTAAAAATTTATTTTCAATCATATATTCTCTAATAAAATAATTTTACACGTAAATCGAACTTTTTTTTTAACCACACATTCTACAAAAATCACTATTTCAGAACACTTTTCTCAAAGATCTTGTTATACACCAAAAAATATTCAAATTTTGATTTTGAAACATTCTTTTCAGTGGGATACATTACTATTTTAGGAGATGTTTTGTATACTATGTCAAATTAGATTAATGTTCTTAAAGATTTTAGGGGTTGTTCTTTTCGTATTTCAGTTTTGAATTTTAAATTCATTTGGAAAATTTGGCAAAATAACCTCACTAAATAATGATTTTGGAGAAATTGCCTTTGACCAACATTGAAATAGAATAAAAAAAATTAAAATGTTTTAATGGTAAAATGACAAAGTTGTCCTTCAATTTATATCAAATTATTCACCCA